GGTTGTATTGTACGAATGTAACACCCGTGGTTATTACTTTATTTGTGTTTTGGCCGGTCATTAATTATTTCAGACATTGATCCCGCCCTTTTGTAAATTTAAATACTTTAACTCCACCATCTCCCAACCCCGGCAGAGGAAAGTGGGGGGGGGGATCACCTACTTCCCACGGCTTCTCCCTGGTCGCATTTTTTATATTAAATTAATAGTGTAATGGTGTGATATCCCTCCATGATTTTACTTAAATTTTATTTAAATCTCTTAAATGATTAATTGTAAAACACTTACAATGCAGGTTTAAATAACATATCAGTGCAATAAAAATTCTGAAAAGGGGTATTTGGACAGTGTGTATTGGACTCGTTAGTTTTTAACAAAATGTAAATGAAAGAAAAATACATCTAATTATGACTTCCTTTAGCGTCCCCTGAGGCGCCAAAGGGTTAATTAAAGTTCTTGGGTCAGCATAATTACAGCTACCGGTATTTGAAATCTCTATTAAAATTTAAAAAAAAAATGTAATTTGTTTTTTTAGATAGAGCTGTGAAAGTAATGGGCTCGGCATCACCTTAGGTACGGATTAGTTTGTGGTAGGGGTTCGAACCCCCTTGTCATTTTACGCATTGTATTTCATAAAGACATTTCATATGTTGTAAAAGTGATTTCTCTGCGGTTGATACTGTCGTTTCATTGAGTTGAACACAGGTCTCGAATCCTGCGGAACGGCGTTCCTGTACTCTCCCCCCCCCCCTTCCACATCGAGAACGCCGTTTGAGTATTGTCTTCCATATTTTTTTTAGACGTTGCAGATGATCGGAAGATCATCTCCCATTTCGGGGCTCCTTATCATAAGCGTTGTGCTTCTTGTCATAAGCGTGGTGCTTCTTGTCATAAGCGTGGTGCTTCTTGTCATAAGCGTGGTGCTTCTTGTCATAAGCGTGGTGCTTCTTGTGATAAGCGTGGTGCTTCTTGTGATAAGCGTAGTGCTTATTGTCTTAAGCATGGTACTTCTTGTCATAAGCGTGGCGCTTCTTGTCATTAGCGTGGTGCTTCTTGTTATAAGAGTGGCGTACAGGATCACTTATTTTGTGTCACATGTTTTCTATCACACGTTTGTAGAAAAAAGGAACTTTATCAATAACGCTGCAATGTATTTGCTAAGAAATACATACATATTTTTGGAAGTCGGGAGGGGGAGGGAGGTCTTGGCTGAGTTCCAAAAGTTTTTTTTTCCTCCCAGGACTTTACCCCATGATTAAATGCATTATTTTTACATTATATACCATCATGTGTTTGGTGATAACTACGCTTCAGGGACCATATTACGTCTTTAGAAAGAAAACAAATACATACAATTATAGTAAACATGAGTTTGTACATTAGAATGTCGTTTCAAGAGTATCAGGCTTCATAAGTCACTCGATGTATGACGTCATTCCAGGAAAGATATTACATATATATATATATATATATATATATATATATATATGTATGTATATATAAGAATGAGCTATGCTGACCGTAACGCCAACTAACAGAAAAGATTTAAATACGTTCGGATTCCTAAAAACGATCATAGTTATTTTCTAATATCATGCAGAAATCAAATAAATTCAAATGCGCAAAAATATTATGTACCCGCTTTTATTTCAGTAAAGGATTAAATATTACTATCATAAATTACAAATACATTTAAAGTATTAACAAAGGAACCCTGAACCATTTACAGCATATTATATGTGTTTGTAAGTTATGACCAAAAAATATAAACAATTATGATCAAAGAATTACACCGTGTTTACATTTAGCAGGAAAACCCAAAGATCAGTTGTTTTTAGTGCTTTTTTTTTTAGTGCGTTGTTAATATTGCGAAATAAAATCAACTTTGATTTGTTCTAGTTAATCAGGCCGAAGTAAAAGTTCTCTCATTTAATAACCGCACTTGAAAAATTGGTTATTGTATGAAAATAAAATTAAAAAAATATTTTTTATTAAAATAAAATTAATCAATATAATTGATTGCTTTTTAAATTGCTAAAAATTGGTTAAAATGAAATACAAATTTATCTTTGTATTTTTAACATTTAATAAGTTTTTACTTTTCATTCATTACAAAAATATACTTTTATGAAGTTTATAAAGTAGTAAAAACTTAATCTTTAAATATACTTTTAATTTTAAAAAATGCCGTTTAATTCAATCAGTACAGCGAAACTACATAGCCAAAGAGCATTGGCTAATGCACTTATCACTCATCCCAATAAGAATAAGGCAAACGAATTGCAAAAAAAAAATAAAAAAATATTTGTGTTTGAGTAAATAAGAGGGTTACAATACGATGGATGATTTTTATAATTTGTTAAATATATATATATATATATATATATATATATATATATGGATGATAGATAGATGATAGAAAGACAGACCGACATACCAACAGACAGGCAAACAGACAGATAGATGGATAGATGGATAGATGGATAGATGGATAGATGGATAGATGGATAGATGGATAGATGGATAGATGGATAGATTAATGTATTTTCTATTTAAAAATAACCTAAAAAATTAAGGCAGTTCGTTTGAGTGGCCAAAATATATTCTGTTCAAATATAACTTCAAAAACGTATTTAAAACACAAACATTTTTGTCCTTTCTTTTAGTGGCTTTGCCACGCATGCCGGGTTCTCGCTCGTTAATATAATAATACATAAAGAAAAAAAAATATTAATTTATTTAATTTTCTAAGACAATGATTAATACAACAGGCACAAGGGAAAGCCATTGAGCAGGAGTGTGTAAATTTCAAAGTTAAAATAAGGGCATTGGGGTCGTATTGGGGGGTGGTGGTGGGGAGGGGGTGGTGGTGCGGTGTCGACTTCAACGTTTTTTTTTTAAAAATTTAAATAATATATTTAGATTTAGGCTAAAAAAAATTTTCATCATGAATAAAAATTGATAGGCTTTGTCAATTGAAGTTATTCCCAGTTACAAATCCCCCCTTTGCGTTTACGTCAATTTTCTAGAGCCGGGCTCGGAGTCTTTAGCCGGAGTCAATGTAATCATTATTTTTTTTGATCACGCAACCCCTGGGAAACAGTGGGAAGTAGGGGATCCCGGGGATTAAGAGCTTGTTTTGGATTTAATGGCGTCTTAAATATTTTTGGTCCCCCCACACTAATTAATCATCTGCGTGGCACTGTGAAATTTTTGGCGTGGTTAGAGGCTAGAGAAGGCGTGGTTTAAGGGCACGGCTTTGGTGTATATATAAGGCAGTTCGCTTGAGTGGCCACTCAGCAACTGCTCGGCTTGACGTCGCTGTCCGCTCAGTAAGTATTTTGGTTCTTCGTTTACTCGTATAGCCCCCCCCCCAACCCCCCCCCTCCCCCCCCCCCCCCCAAATAGCTTTCATCACTTTGACATTTCTTCCGGCGACCTATCCATCTTGAATTCGTACAAGTGATACCCCCGATGGGAACTAGATTAGAAACTAGAACTCTTAGGATTCAGTTGAAAGTAAAATACTTATGTGTGAATTGATAGTTATACAATTTTGCATGCTAGAGCACTTTTTTTTGTTTTGTTTTCCTACCTGTCATTTATTTTCAAGTCAAAAAATCACTTGAATACTTAAAAAAAAAAATAAAAACAACCCTGCTAGTCTCAGTGAGAATGAATGAACTAATTTCGCAGCACTTTATGGCCCGACTGTATGCATTCGTTTGACTTTTGGGGTGAAAATAATGATTGCAGACACTTTATTTCTAGTCTATTAGAGATATAGCTACGTTTGACAATGTTAAAGTTACAATTAACAACCCCACTCCCCCCCCCACCAAAAAAACAAAAAAAAACGAAAAAAAAAAACACACACAAAAACAAACAACGTTTTTCGTATCAATCCTTTACAAAATGTAATATCGTGCAATGGGATTTGGGGGGGGGGGGGCTGAAGAGTTTGATAGACTGTGCTGTCATCGGCAACGGGCCTATGATCGAAGTTTCAGTTCGATAGGTTGACGAATCAATTGGCCGTGAACATTTTGCCACGTTCAAGACGTGAAAACTAAAAATTCATTAAGTTGTCGGATTGCTATGTTCGCGGAAGGAGGGGTTCAGCGCCCGAAACTTCCGTGCAGTAGTTTTGTTGTCATAGTTCAAGCTTCCATCGATCTGTGTTTCTATTAAATCATTCCATATTCTACCAAAGTCAAATCGAAGAGGCAACCAGAGTCAAACCATCATCCAGGATTTTATTGCACGCATCCTCTTCGTTAAAACAAAAAAATTATTAAAAAGTTGATTACAAATTTATTTGAAGCGTCTCGCGCATTCCCATTTAAAAAAAATAAAAATAAAATGGATTAAAATCTAAAAAAAACAAACTAATAAAATGACTAATATTATTTTTAAAGATCATTTATTTTTTAAAAATGTATCATTATTCGCGTGAATGATACAAAGGATAAGTTACAAGACTAAGTGTTATAATTATTATCTGAGTTTAAAAAAAAAGTAATTCTTAAAATGCCACTTCCGCCTTTGATCGTTAATGCCTCCGAGTTCTATAATATATAGAGTTATCCAGCTTTTGACGGATTCGAAAGAGGGAAGAATTCCATCCACAATTAGACATATTTCTCCATGAAATACGATTAAATCTGCAAGAATCTTATATTTAAAAAAATAAATATTTTAAGCATTCCCCGAATCTATCTTTGATTTAACGTAACTGTCAATTTTATTTTATAATTTCAGACCACAATCGCAAAATGGCCACCAAAATGACCATGGTTCTCCTTCTTGCCTGTGTCATCGGCTGTTCATTCGCCAGTTATGGTCTTGGTGGAGGCTATGGTCTCGGTGGAGGCTATGGTCTTGGTGGAGGCTATGGTCTTGGTGGAGGCTATGGTCTTGGTGGAGGCTATGGTCTTGGTGGAGGCTATGGTCTTGGTGGAGGCTATGGTCTTGGTGGAGGCTATGGTCTTGGTGGAGGACTAGGCTACGGACTGGGTGGAGGTTATGGCCTTGGTGGAGGCCTCGGAATCGGTGGAGGTCTCGGCGGTGGCTACGGGCTTGGTGGAGGCTATGGTCTCGGAGGGGGCTACGGTCTTGGTGGAGGCCTCGGACTCGGCGGAGGCTATGGTCTAGGAGGAGGCTACGGTCTTGGCGGGGGTCTCGGTCTAGGACTTGGAGCAGGTTATGGAGGTTACGGAGCCGGCTATGGCGCCGGCTATGGTGGCTACGGTGCTGGTGGCTACGGTGCTGGTGGCTACGGTGCTGGCGGCTACGGTGCTGGCGGCTACGGTGCCGGTGGTTACGGCGCCGGCGCATTCGGGGGTGCCGCAGCTAAATCAAGCTCCCACACCAAAACCGTGTCGACATCAAGCAGCTCGGACTTCGCCGCAGGAAACGCTGGAGGGTACGCTGGAGGTGCCGGAGGTTTCGCCGGAGGCGCCGGAGGTTTCGGCGGTGCCGGAGGTTACGGTGGTGCCGCTGGAGGTTACGGTGCCGGTGGTTACGGCGCTGGTGCTTACGGCGCTGGTGGCTACGGCGCCGGTCTCGGTGGATTCTGGAAGCGTTAAGATCTTTCGAGAAGCGTGCAGGAAAACAGAAGAAGAATAAAACCATATCAGTCCATCGTTTGGTGTAATTTTTTTTTTTTTCATTGTAAGATCGTCATTTCCAGCATGGACAGCGGAGTCGAAAAAGTGAAATCTTTCCACTAAACATCACATTTTTTAATAAAAATATAAATCTTTATTTCATTATTTGTTAATTATTTTTTAATTGTTAATTTTATTTTTATTTTTATTAATTTTTTTTTTTTTAAATAGAGCGATATCTTTCATTTAAAAAAAAGGTTTTGACGTTGACCTAGAAACTGAGGAATGAATTTAAAAAAAAATAATTGTAAATTAAATGTAAAAAAAAAATAGTAACAAAAGTAAATCGATTACTTCAAATTATTTTATTTAAAAATTTTGAGAACTTCTTTTTAACAGTGACAGTAACCGAGAGAGGGGCACCTACGCCGTAAGGCATAGCAGACATTTAAAAAATGGTGGTTATCTCCCTTTATGGGTAACATGAAAAATGTTTTTTTTTAAATAATATTATTTACGGAACAGCGGCAAGTTAAAAAATGTCCTAAACTATCAGGATCGTTCGTATTGGTGCAAGAAACTAGTTTAAAAAAACCCCCAAAAAAACAATCAGTTCATGTATTACATTTAAAAAGAAAATTTATGCAGTTTATATGAAATACATACCCCCTGTGCATTCGAGCTCTCGAGTTTAACAAAAGAAGCAGATCTAGACTATCAGAACTAAACTATAAAATCAAAATTACATCACACAACAGTGAGCACATTATTTCGTTGCACAAAAATTCTCAAAAGCACATAACATGACTTTGAGCACAAGAGGGATACAATTATGTGTCTATTAAAATTTAAACCACTGATGTGTGTGTTGGAAAAAATATGTTAAGTTTTATAAAAAACAGAGTTTTTAAATTATTATTTCTATGTAATGAGTAATCTGTTAAATTAAACTTGAAAAATTAAAGTATGCAAAGCAGAAGCGCATATAAAAAAATTAATAAATAAATCACTGCAACAACAAAAATATGAAGAATGACAAATGATTTTTCCTCTTGCAGAACCTGCTAAGTAACTTCTCGTTGATTTTGAGAAAAACAAACAACAATTTTTATAAATTAACTTTTATATAGCGAATATAGCATTTCTATATTTGTTATGGTGATATTTTATACTTAAATCGGGGCATTGATTCTTTAAATTATGATGATACTGTGGACCGTCACTTAACCAACCTACCAAATTAGAGCATTCATTCCAAGTTGACTCCTCATCGTCCGCAATACACTGGACGCTAAATTGTAACAGCTGAAAGTGTTTGTAAACACCTCATTCGGGCTCGTCATCCAAAGGAATCTTGAACCAAAGGGCCTCATTTCAATCGTTGCGATACTTGAAACAAGAGATACCTGTTTAACGATTAACTTCAATTTCAACTTAGATTGTTTATAATATTCCAAACCACCCCACCCCCCCCCAAGCCTTTTCCTAACACCCATTTGAAACTTGGGCTCCCCACAAAACGATTTCGTCACGACGGAGCGACTCAATCATTGCCGCAGCGGGCTTAGAATAAAGAGATCCTTTTAAACAAAAAATCATAAATTTAGCATACCCTATTATACTAGAAAGTTACGATATTTCAAAGGGATCACCAATTCGATTCCTGCTGTTTAAATATATAATTAAAAACATATTTAAATATCAATGACATTTGGACATGAAATCAGACTTTCGATCAGACTTTCGGATATACGTATAAACTATAAACTTATAAAAGTATACTTTAAATCTTGCTAAATTATGCTGTAATGTTAAAAAGCCGGGATAAAATATACTGTATTCATTATAAGCCAGGATAAACTATACTGCAATATTACAAAGCCATCATAAACATACTGCAATCATACAAAGCCAGTACAAGGTATGCTGACATCATCATACAAAGCGAGGAAAACTGATATTGCAACCATAAAAAGCCAGGCTAGACTACGCTGTAATCATACGAAACCAGGACAAAGTATACTGTAATCATACGAAGCCAGGACAAAGTATACTGTAATCATACGAAGCCTTGATAAACTACACACGTTAATAAAACACAAATTAAACAATATATTGAACTTAATCATTTAAATAACACTAAGCGAATATCACATCCTTGTACACAAACAAAACAAAAAAATCGTAAGAAAATAAGATTTTCGATTACTTAACAAACAAACAAAAATAATTGATCAATGTCATAACAATGAATAATTGTTACATTTTGATAACAAATTTCTCAAGATGGCCTACTTAACATGTGTTAATAAAAAAAAAAAAACAACCAACAACACACAAGAGATAACGGCATTATTTTTGGGGAAGCCTTTCTGTTATTCTCAATAAAAGATAAATATTTCAGGGTTGTTTAAAAAAAAAACAACAACTCTTTTTGGGGTAGCAAATTTAAATGAAGGAAACAGTGGTACTGGCTGTCTCTATTTGTTTTTAGAATTTAAAAAAAAAAATAATAATTATGAATATTTTATGTTCCTATTTTATGAAGGTGCCAACTCTCTCCGCATCATCTATTTAAGAAGAAATAAACAATATACCGGTTGGCCACTCAACCCCTCCCCCACCCACTTTTTTTTTGAAACAACAACTCCCCAACTGCCACCCCGCTATCTCCACCCCTGGATTTGGCTCCTTTTGTATCAATCATTTAAATATCTATTTTCGTGTCAATGGCCCAAAGAGGGGCTATCCATAAATGACGTCACGCAAATTTTGCCGTTTTATGATCCCCCCCCCCCCCATCGTCACAAATCGTCACAAATAGTTAGACCCCCCCCCCACCTCAAATTTAAAGTCACAAATCTCTGCAAACCCCCCACCCCCTTTTAAAAAAGAAACAAATTCCCTGCGCCCACCACTCGTCCTTTACAAACCCAAAAGAAATTCACCTCCCGTGGATATCAAATTACCGCACCTTTGTCAGAAGCATGTCACTAGAACAGTGGTTCTTAACAAGGGGTAAAAAGTACCTCCCAAGCCGTGACGTTTGGTAAGACCAGAACATTGTATTCAGTGGCGTAGCTGAGGGGTGCGGAACACACCGGGTGACACCATCTCAGGGGGTGACACCAAATTGACAAATTGCAAATTTACAGAACACCACCAGAACTGAAATTAATAAAATGATAACAGATGACACGCACGTTGTCCACCCATGTAACCAATATAAAAGGATAACAGATGACACGCACGTTGTCCACCCATGTAACCAATCAAAATAAAAGGATAACAGATGACACGCACGTTGTCCACCCATGTAACCAATCAGAATAAAAGGATAACAGATGACACGCACGTTGTCCACCCATGTAACCAATCAGAATAAAAGGATAACAGATGACACGCACGTTGTCCACCCATGTAGCCAATCAAAATAAAAGGATAACAGATGACACGCACGTTGTCCACCCATGTAACCAATCAAAATGAGCGTTTCATTAAAATTTCTAGGTCGATGCGTCAGCAATAGGGTGACCTTATTATTAAGTAAGAAACACAATTGTTTGACCATGTTCCAACGCCGAATCAAGTGTCCGGTATCTTTAGCAAGGGACAGGAAGCTAGAGTTATGTACAACCTGGGACAGAATAAAGCTATGATTTTGGTAACACTAGACGAATCTACGTGCATGGCACAGTTCTTAAATACATTTACCTCCTGACCTTCAATTGATTCGATGTTGTTCTTGCATTTGTTCGACTGTGGCGGAAGTTTAACAAGACGTTTGAACGGCGTAAAATCGTGGAAGCCAAGAGGGGGCACCTTACCAGACCGGGTGACGCCGACCTTTGCTACGCCACTGCTTGTATGTTGCTACCATTGCTAGTTGCTGCTGTTTTAACTTTAACAAACAAAAACAATTATTTATTTTATTTATTTTTTTTATTAGCAGCAGTAAATATTTTTCTGATGAATTTTATTGGCACATTGCTTGTATTGGTATTTTTTCCCCTTGTTTATAAAAAGTTAATTAACGAAATAAAACTAAGGTAACTAAATTATTTAATTATTTTTAATTTTATTACAATATAATGTATAAGGTTGGTTGGGGGGGGGTGGGATTTTTAAAACGGAGTGGGCCTGTAACGCTGCAAAAAAAGGGCTAAGAATCCCTGTCCTAGAGCCTTTACTAAGATACCCCGTGACCCTT